TAAAATGTCTACATGCTACATCTATTTTTTATAAAGTACAACAATCAACACATCTAACTAAATACACGACTATACGAGGTATTCAATTATTTATTAGATATTTTTCTATCTGATTTAATTCAATTGGGTTTAGGAGCAAAAATATTTGTGTGGTTAGAGAACTAATTTTTGTACTCTAAAAGCTTTTCATTCCAGTAGGTTTATCTAAAGAAGTATAGACGGGTCTTCAGATTGACGTTTAAACATATTGCTTGTAAGCTTTGGAAAGTTTACCAAATAGTTAGAGTACTTAAGACTAAACCCTCGATAGAATCTAACGGAAGAAAATGTTAAGGTTCTAAAAAGATTTAGAGCCTCCTTATAGAATAAAAGTAAAGCTTTTTTCAAATAAATTTAACGATACTTTTCAATTAAAGTTTTAACAAAACATTTTTTGTCTTGGTAAATATATCGATATTTTAAAAATCAAGTCAAATGATTAGGTACTATAGTAAATATTATAGTATTGAGTATTTACGAATTGAAAAATATACTAATTACTCTAACTTATAATACTTTAAAATGTATTACAAATTTGATGACAATTTTAAAAATTTAGATAAATTGAAAAAAAGATTCTGATTACTTAATCCCAAGACTGCAGAACACTTAACTTTGAATATAAATTAAATTTACGTCCATTTATAATTTAAACTGTTAATTTAATTAAAATAGTTTTTAATTTATATTATAAAATTATAAAGCTGTGAATACATGAAAATCAAGATTGAACGTAATAAAAATTAAATTACTTTAATGTATAAATATAAACACATTTATTTTTTTTTGATAACATTTTTCAATACTTGAATCAGAAGAAATGTTATTAATTTAAGTTATTTAATACATAAATATTTTTCTAATGCTTCATTATTATTATTTATTAAAATAATTGATTATTAACATATAACAAAATAAGTAACCAACATTATTGATTGTATATTTGTATTTATACATAATATTCTTATCGGTTATAAAACGTTTAAACTTCCGGTGATATTAATATTCTCGCAGTCTCGCAATTTTAATCTTATATTTCTTTAAGTATAATGTATAAAATACAAATAAACCTACGCGTTAAAAATCAGTAAAATTATTAAACTGAAAAACTCAAACATCTGTGAAACATATTTAAATTATATTTTATTTTTATAATATATTTCTTGATATTTGTTTTACTTATTTATAGGAGTTAATACTACTGATTATCGAAATACAATTTTCTATTATTAATTATTGATGCAGTAATTATTATATTCTTATTTATACAATTAATAAATACTGAAAATCACTTCTACAGTTCTACTTCAATAACCACAATTTCTAGATCTTTATCAAAAATTATAAAACATACTAAAACATAAAAAACTGAAATGTTTTATACATTTAAATATTTAATAGATAAAAATTATACTCAGTAAACAGGCAACAACCTGTTAAGAAAATATTTTTTATTTTTAAAATATACAATATAATACTCGTATACTATAAAAATATTTATTCTTTAAAAAAAAGATTATTCTAAGAATCTTAAAAACATTGCGAGAAGTATATTATCTGAACCTTGAATATTAGATAGAATTAGTAGAATTCAATAGATATGGTTAATAGTTTATTAACTATATTATAATATTATACAGTGTTGGAGAAAAATATTTTATAATTATATAAAGATAAAGTAATGAAATGTATATTTGAGAAATGTTTACTTTCTATATACGTACAATTATTTTAAATTATCTACAATATAATATTTTTTAATATTTATGATTAATGTCTAATTATACTGTTCAATATTAAAGTAATAATGTAATAATGTCAATATGAAAAATAATTGTATAGTCTCAGATTTATTTGAATAATATATTTTTTTTCAAATATTTTAGTTGTAATGAACTAATTAAAAATTCAAATATAACTTCTTTATCATTTTATATAAATATATTACTATGACCAAATAAATTTGTATTTTATTTGACCTTATAGGATCTGTAAAATAATAGTTTTTTAGATATTTGATTGAACACTCCCATAATAAAGTCAAATATTAGAAAATTAATAAAGAGTAATATAAATTAAGATATGTAAAATATTATATATATTTAAAAGAGTGTATACTATATATATTATATACACTTTTTTAAATGTTATTTTTATTAATCTACCAGTCCATTTATAATTTTGATAAACTGACCTATTGGAAAATATGAATATCGATGTAATATATTATCTTATAATATAATTACACATAGAAATCTTTTACACTTTCATATAATTTATTTATTTTATTTACATAGTTAAATTTTATAATTATTCATGAAATGACACATCGTGGTAATGAGTTATTTATTAAGCTCGACGGTTTAAATTATGTTATGTTATAAGAGTAATTAAATAGAATATTAAAATATCTAATGTTTAATAGTACGGATAATAAAATGTTATCAGTAGGTAATCTGACAAACATAGCAATAGAGCTAGCGAAATAATCGAATATTTTATAATTCGAAGTTATTTAATTATTAAATATTTGATTGCAATAAAACTACATTAGTATTTACAATCAGCGATTAGCTGCTATTATACATATAAATGGATATGTATAGTATTAGATATCGTAAGTTGTATGATTCAAAGTGAAGATTTGGGAGGGGCCACTTATTTAATACTTCACACAAATATTTCCTTTTGTTTTTTCATATAAAAAAATCACATATTATGCAATATCAACGTATTTTTTTTATGTACTCGTATATTCTATATTTCTATATAATTTTATTGTTAACAATTTAAATAAAAGTCATCCATGGGTATTGATTAATTACTGAAACAAAGTTTCTCTAAAAAAGTGGGGAAATATGCAAAATATGTTTATATGACCGGAAAGAATTGACCCCTTTGATCTATTTTCTCGATCCGTTCCTAGTTGCAGTACCATATTATATCATTTACAAGTTACAACTTCGTTATTAAATATTATTATAGAATAGCTACCTAAATTCCAACTTATAAATTGTGCATTTGTCCTTATCATAAATATTAAATATGTGTAGTGAGACCATTAATTTTTTTCAACACATTACCTATATATTTTTCTATTGGTACAAATATTAGTCTATAAACTATAATATGTATTAGAGTAGGTATTAGACATTATATGGTTTTGATAGATAATTTATATAATTATAAAATATTAGATTTATTTATATAATATACATATACAGTACATTATGTAACACACTAACGTAAGTGATAATAAAAAGGTTATTTATTTAAGCTTCAACACAATATTATGACAAGTAACGACTTGAACTATAGTCTGCATTCGACATAATATATATAAATTATTACCTATATCGCACGATTAATAGCATACATTAATTATTGACACAATACAACTGTAGGTACATATAAAAAACAAATAGGATAAATTTTGATAAATAAATTAAATAATATTCATCAGAAATTTATTAGAAATAGTTGGTATTGATACCTAATCTAATAACATTTTTTAACGTTTTTTCATCACTGCGTGGAAAAAGAGAAAACTAGTTTTTAGTTTATAGCGATTTCGATATTATTAAACCGAATTCCTTTAGGGAGAAAATCATTACGGTTTAATAACTATTTCAGGTATAACGCACAAAAATAATATTAAACATTTGCATACTATATTATAGCTTATACACTACAGGCACACTGACAGCTGCTACATGTAATACCACAATATTGCGGAATGCCATTTTAATGGACACGTGTCGGTAAAAAATTATCAAGGGTCATCAGGAATAATAATTTCCGGACGCTTACGTTACCGATTTGTAATGTTTTGACGTCGTTACGAATCTTAGAGGAAAAAAATCAAACAAGAATAAAAAAATACACGAATTACGAGTGACTTTTGAACCATATGGCGCGCGGGAGGTATAAAGTATATAATAGTACGCGTCAAAGACGGTCTTCGTCGAAATAAACACACACACACACGCAGCATCTCAACCGCGCCGGGAAGCGCAGTTACAATAATATACACACAGTATATACCGGGTGTTTCGCCGTCTTTAAATCCAAACTTTAAAACAAACATTTAATTAATGGAAATTCGGTATTTTGACGTTTAAAATACATGTACATAACTACATAAGTTATAACTTAATAATGTGGCCATCTAATATTTTTATGAAACAAAAAAGAAAATATTTTAATTATTTTTTTCTTCACGTTAAACAAATAACTACCTACCTATATTATTAAAATACTTAATAAACATGAATCTACAATAGTAACAAGTAATGATTTTCAAAAATATTAAACAAAACTAAAAAAAAAAAAACGTATTGACGCCTGAATGGAATAAAAGGCGAAACACCCTGTATGCACAATAGTACAATACTATGAATTATTATTTCCATGTACGCGTACGTGTGTGTGTGTGTTAGCACTGTAGCAGAGAGACCGGCGTGAGATGACGAGTGCGCGGGCGCCGCCACTAATGCCGTTTCTCGAGTACGCACACGCGGTGCCACCAACCGAACCGGTTCGCCGTCGCCGGCGAGACGGCGACCATGCCCTGAACCCGTCGACGACAAGCGCGACACGAGTACACGACCGTTTTGACTTTGACGCACACGTCACGTCACGTTCGGCCACTTTGGTCTTTCTGCACGAATAACGATTAACGGCCGTCGCAGGACGCAGCGTCGCCTGCGAACATCGATGACGCGCGTGTCGCGTTTCGGGTAACGGTAAGCGTCGCGTCGTCGGTACCCGCGGTGACGCGTAGTGTCTGCAGTTTACGTGCCGCCAAACGGTTCGAACCGGACGTACAATCACTGTAATATTATCATGTAAACATAGAGGGCTGCGGTTCGCGACCGCGTTTAGGAACCAATGGCGACGGTTGAACGCGACGCGACGTCCTTGAAACAGTACATGAAAAAAAAAAAAATGCAAAAAATTACTCGCAAGCTTGGGTCCGAATTCCGCCGATTTCTCTTGTTCCGTGGCGGCTATGGTGGATTTGACGACGACGCCTCTATGTCTGTCCGCCTGGCCGGTAAACGTCGACATTTTTCTGCGAAAATCAAAAAATAAAATAAAATCGAGCCGTGTAGAGTCGAATGACAATACATTAAAAAGGATAAATCGGAAAATATGATATTATAAAATATATCTTAATTTCCTTGCCGTTACCCCTAGAAAAAAAAAAAACCGTACACCCGCCCGCCCATAAGTATTTCGCGTAGGAGGTACCTGACGGCCGCGTACAACGACAGCGGTGGTTGTCTGGAAACCATGTAAGCAGCGCGTCAGCCGCGGTGCGCGAGTCTGTGCACGTTTTAACCTGTTGCCCGCGTGCAAAAAGGGACGTCCGCGGCGGCGGAGATCAGGAAGACCGAACGAACAGACGCGCGGCAAGCGAGAGGGACGGGACGACGTCGAGAGAGACGGCGTGCGAGAATGAGACGCCGGGATAGAATAAAGACGGGTGGTGCGACGGAGACAGAGCGCGTGGATAATATACAGTGTGGATGCGTAAAAAAAAAAA